ACAGCTTTGTTATACGCAAACTATCTGATCCAAATGTGGAGAAAAGTTAATCTGCTTACACAGTTGCTGCATCATTTACATATTCAAAATTCCTGATCTGTACAATAAGGCTTTTTCTTTATAAAAGTCATTCCTTTAGGGCAGTATTATTTAAGAGGGAAGATGAACATAGTGATTTTTTTCACTCATTTCATCCTTATAGCAAGAACATTTTCACATTTTTTCAGGATGAAACCAAGTTTAACTTGCAGAGAGGATAACTCAATTTCCATCTGCCTCAAGCTTTGTTTCACTAATTTCCTGGTCACCTCTGCTCCAGCTTTTTTCCCATTGTTAAATACATATAGATAGATATATAGTACAATATGCAGTAAAAAATATGCAAAATTAATAACTTCATTGTAATGCTTAAACTTAAATGTGAAGGTAAATTGGCAATAATCAATCATCGGAAAACTAAGTAGCTCCAGAACTTTGCTCTTTATACCAGGTATGAACACGGTCTTTAAATTTTTATTATCTTTTTCCTTCCATCCTTCAATCTTTATTATATAGATAATTTATACCTGTTCAAAGTAAATGAAGAAATCAAAAGTTGCCTAAGTACTTTATTAGGACTTTTAACAACAAGCCTAGTTCCAGCTTCTGTCTTTACCAAACATTTTGAGTTGAATCCTCTCCTGATACGTGAGGCCATTTCCTACCCAAGTAGTACTTCATTCGAATGAAGAGCTACATATTAAACACATACATATTAACTGAGAGCATTTCTAAAAACTCTTCCCCTAGGCACTGAGAAGGCTTTTCAACAATGTCCTGTTGATTTTTAACTTGCGATGTTTCAGTAATTTTGCTTATGTTCCTTGCAAGAAAGCTTAATTTTTGCACGTCTGCTTATGTGAGAGTCACACTCCCACACATCCAAGTACTTACCTTGGCACAGTAGGTACTCTATGCCTCAGATATTAGAAATTGCAGTATCAGGTGCATCGCCATGAGCACATTGGGTTGAGGCAGTATTACCAGTTTCCTACAACTATTTATTTTTTATTATTATTATCATCATTATTGTTATCAGTGCTTTGGAGGGAAGTGTCTGTGGCGTAATTCCCTGTAGACAACTAATCTGCATTTAAAGCAATTAAGGAAAGACACACTGTGGGTCTCAAAATCTCTCTCACAGATAATTCACCAATATCTTTTGATATTCACAAAATAAGATGCTGTTCAGAAAATCAAATGTCATTTGTTCCAAAAAATGCAAAACAAGCAAAACCCAAAGCCATTTTAAAAACCCCAAGCAAAGCAAAAAACAAAACCAAACACTACAAACTCCCCCCTCCCCACAAAAAAAGGAAAAAAACCAAAAACAACAAAACCAATCCACCAAAAATTCCTTTAGCATTCTTATCTGTTAGCCTACCTAGAAAAGATCAAAAAGTTGGACTCCCACATGTTACACTTTATTCTGTCAAGGTGCCAAGTAGCAAGAACACTGTGCTACTCATTTTATATCATTGGATGGGAACCCCCCCAGCTTTTTTTTTTTTTTCCATTCAGTTCACTGATAGATTTTTAGGCATCTTGCTTCCTCTCCTGTAGTAGACAGCCCTCACTAACATCTCCCATCCCAGGCACACCAGCACTTTTAACTATTTCTCCTTTCTAATGCCATCTCTCATCTCAACTGAATGACAACTATGACCTGCGTCAAAATCCTACTTTCAAGTAAATTTACAGTATGTGGCTTATGAAAATTGAATCTTTCACAATTTACATACAAATGAGAGTTTAAACACTGGGATCTTAAAAATGACAGGGTAGCCCTGAATATATGATTTTACATGGTTAAAGTCTACCTAACTATGATTTAAGCATTTAATCCAAAACCTGCAATGTAAACATTTTACCAAAGTACAAAACAGTTGCATTCATACAGCAATGTAAAGGGCAAAGCAGTAAACTTCTAAATTTCACTTTGTCGAAAAATATTTAAGACTAAATCCAAAGGAAAATAAAATCCATTGCAGACCAACTTCAACGACAGTCACAAAAGACTTTGCTGCTGGTCTCTTAATAAACAGAGTACGAAGTCCACAGTAGCACATACAGGCTAATGGCAGCCTCCAATCTAATCTAGTTCGTATTAGAATACTTTACAAAGATTCAACAGATGCTATTTTAGAAAGGACACAGGCTCAAAGAACCTACCCACAATGGACTTAGGCTTCCTTTGAAACGTAGGAATTAGAAATGCATAAAGAAGAAGAGATTTTGACCAGGAAGAAGCTTGGCTGGGCGTGGCATGATACTTAGCCTGCCTTGAGATTTTCTTCACTTAAAGAAAAAAAATAGGGAATAAGAGTATTATAATGTACAACATTCTGCTTCACTTAGAATTTCACATTGACTTACAAAGCTGCGTGAAAGCTTTTCTAATGAGGTTAAGATTTTCTATGAGTCTTGCTGAGATGTCTATAGAAGAGTGGAGAGTAAAACTGAAAAATGTTCAAATGGGACTCTTAAATGCCTGCGTGATTTTTTCAGTTTTAAAAAAGTTTTGAGGGTGCTGTACCCTTGGCAACTGTTTAAACTACACACAACTAAAATGCAAACTGCTAAAGGCAGCTATCAAGTTATGTTCAGTGAGTGTAAGTGTTTGCAGTGCCTTATTATTGACAAAGAGGTGACCAAAGGAGTTCCTGCATACTGCAGGAGGTGGTGCAGGAGAAAAGTAGGGAATGGACTGCCTAAGGCTTAGACAGCTCCAAACTCTTGCTGTCAAGAGGCTGATCACAAAACACGAGGGTGTGCATGGATATGTAATCAGTTGTGCTGTAGAGTTCTGCACACTTTCCTTTGAGAGCTTTTGCAACTTGTCGGTTTCAGAAAGCAAGCTGGACTCCTCTTGAATAAAACCAAACCAGAAGATGTGCTCCAGGGTTTCACTTAATGCACCTCAGCCACTAATGAATATTCTCAGGTCCAGAGAAGTGAGATCTCCTGAATGTACAGAACAGACATCAGGTCTTCACCAGCAACTATGATGCTTTACAGATTCCCTTCTGCTAGGTCACACTGATGATGTTACTAGTCTGGTCTCCTGTTGTATTGTAGACCATTACATCACACTCAGATGACTCTTACACTGCATCTTGAGACTGCAAGATAAAACACGTGCCACAAACAACAAGGGTGCAATTGCCCATTGTGCTTGCTGGCTCCGTGAACTGATGGATAAGATTGTCTAAAGCATCTGGTGCTAAATTCATGCTTCATGCTTCTAGAGGATTCTTTACACATGCATATATATGACATACAACTCCTCTGCATAAGCAGAGACCTTGAACAGTGCCAAATTAATTGAGGATAGCTGCTGGCATGTGTTCTCCTAAAAGCCCTTCATTTTTGCAGAACTTGAGCACAGCTGATATTAGATGAAAAGGTTTTGACTTTACTAAGTGGAATAGAAGCAGGGAATGCATTGCACAATCATTGATTCTTTTTGCCTTCCAGTAGTTTAACTATGATAAAGCACTTTATTGTTCAAATATTTATTTCATAAGACAGACGTATGGAAATGGTGTTTATAGAAGTGATTTGTCTATCCAAGCTCAGACATCGCTGCTCGTGGGTTTTTTCCCCTTTAAAATAACTTCTCCAGATGGTGAAGCAACTTAATAGTTACCCTGCAATCAAACACCTTAAGAGCTTTCTTTTTTAAGGTGTAGGAGTCCAAACATGAGCCCCCCTTGACTTCTCCCAGTTATCAAGGATCCCTGTGGTGATCAAACCTCTGTTGACAGGACAAAATCACAGAATAAATTGGATTAGAAGGGACTACAGTGGATCATCTGCTCCAGCCTCCCTGCTTAAGCAGGGTCATCCTAGAGTACATGGCACAGCATTGTGTCCAGACGGTTCTCAAACGTCTCCAGTCAGGGAGACTCCACAGCCTGTCTGGGCAACCTGTTCCAGTGCACGGTCACCCACACAGTAAAGAAGTTCTTCCTCACATTAGGTGGAACTAACTTCCTGTACATCACTTTCTGTCTGTTGCCTCTGGTCTTATTGCTGTACACCACTGCACCACTGAACAGAGCCTGAATCCATCCTCTTGACACCCTCTCTGAAGATACTCACAGACACTGATGAGGTCCCCTCTCAGTCATCACTTCTCGAGGCTGAACAGGCCCAGCTCCCTGAACCTTTCCTTGTCAGAGGCACGCTCCACTCTCCCGGTATGATGCCCCAGGGCATCATGCCTTATAATGCTGGTACTTCATTTCAACCCAAGTCTCGGGAGGGTCCCATCATACAGCGCTTGTAGGCATTGGAGAGCCCACTTCTAGCAAACGTATGTGTGGGACAAGTGGAAACACTGAGAAACCCGAAGGTGGCTCAGGAACGCATAGCGCAAAACAAACGCTCTGCCCGGCGGGGCCGCTGTACGGACACACGTGGGTTATGGACACACGTGGGGTACGGACACACGTGGGGTACGGACACACGAAGGGCAGCCCTGGAGCGGCACACAGGGCGCTCGGCCAGAGCCGCGCTCCCGCTGCCGGGGCGGAGGCACCTGCTCCGCCGGCCCATTGGCAGCGCCGGCTGCGGGGGGGTCGCCGGCCCCGGGGCACGTACGAGCCACAGCGTTCCTCCGAGTAAGGCACTTGCGACCCGTAATTGCTGAGTCATTGCAGTTCTCGCTTGAAAGCAGCTGGGTTATGCAATTAACTCGCGCTAACACTGCCGTCCCTCCGCTCCCTCGGGAACGGCCCGGCCTCCTCCGGCCCGGCCCGGCTGCGGAGCTGAGGCTTGGGAGCCCGCCCGGCCGCCGCCGCCGCCCCGCGCGGGCCCTGCGCTCCGCCCCGGCCGGGGCCGCGGAGGCTCTGGGAGTCCCGCCCGCACGGCGCGCACACACACCCAGGGATACACACACATACACACACACACACACACATACACACACACACACAGACACACAGACCGGGACACACGGCAACACACACACGGGGCACTGGGACACGGACACAGACACAGGCACACGGAAGCGCACCCCGCGCCGCAAACATGGCGCTGGTGCCCAGCCAGGTGCTGCACGCCGCCATCCTCCTGTCCTATTGCTCCATCCTGTGCAATTACAAGGCCATTGACATGCCCGCGCATCAGACCTATGGAGGCAGCTGGAAATTTCTGACCTTCATAGACCTGGTAAGTGCCTCCGGCGGCGGCCGTGGCCCTGCCCCCTCCCTCGGGCCGCCGGTGGAGCGGCCGCGGCCCGGGCGCATCGCGGGCCCCGGCGCTCGACGGCTTCGCCATGCGGTGACCTTAAAGCGGGGCGGCGACATGTTGGGGCTGCAGGGCCGGCCGTGAGAGGAGCCCGCCGGACACGGCGCAGCCGGGTGGTTCGAACGGAGAGAGGCACGGACAAAGCCGAGCGGCTGCTGCGCGTAAGCGGCCGTGGGGAAGTGCGCCTGACGGCCTGTCACCCACCCCGGTGCTGATGATGTGTATCGCCTTTTCTAATGGCCGACAGTGAACACCAGAACCTGCTGGCCCAGCATCTGGCTCCCGTGTGCTGTCAAAATAAAATAAATGACTTGCTCCCTTTGGCCCTTTCGAGGAATCCACCCGTGACAGGTGCAAGTGTATCTATCAGTGATGCAAAAAGTGCCAGGCAACTCCCAACTTGCCACATCCAGCTCGTTTTGATTGCAAATCCATAAACGAGTGTATGAAATAAAAGACATGTCATTTCATCATACTTCTTCACAAGGGTCCAGATCTGGAAGAGTCACCAGCATGCTGGCCTGCTGGATAACACCAGGTGCTAGTCAGGGCTATTTTTAATCCGCTTCCTAGGCTTGCTGCCTTCACAAGTGTTCCCTTAGTGCAGGTGGGAGGAGAAGGGGGCAGAGGGAGAGAGGAGATGGGAGGAGAAACTTCATTTCTGGTTCAGAAATATGATAGCCAATCTAGCCACCTAGTACCTAGATCAAAATACTTTTTTTTTCTTTGAATACACAGTGTAATTAGGTGAGAAATTTTGCGGTTCCAACTCAGTTACTGAAAAGTCCCAAAATGCAGGTATTTCAGTGCCTCCCAGTGATAACACCTCTCTCAGAACTTCATTGTGGATTCACAAGTATTGCTGCTATTGCCTATACGCATGGTACTGACTCAGTAGGTTTGTGGGCTTGGAGACCAAACTCAAACACTAGTAGCCAAGTGTGCAAATTTCTGTATCAGGATTAAGGTTCATTGAGGTCCAATTTTATTTGCAAAGAAGAAGCATCTACTGTATTTTTCACTTCACCAGGATATTTCTTTTTTGTAGGTGCAAAAATTTATTGGTGCTCTGAGGATCCACAGCAGTAACTAATGCTTTTGCTGCAACTGTAAATTGGTGTCTTAAGGCTTGATGTTTCTCTGGAGGACAAACTAGAATCTATTAATTTTTTTTTTCCTTTTGGGTTGCTGAACGGTACTCTCTGTAATATTGGTTAATAGAAGTTATAATATAATCCCAGTAAGTTAGGGGGGTAGCTGTTGACTTTAGTGACAGTTGAACTGGAAGTGAACCAGCTAAAGCTAAAAGCCGTTAATCGTTTTGAGCCTCATTCACCTTCTTCTCTTTTCTCTTAGCCCTGACAGTTACTTGAGGACTAAGTCAACCAAGGCTGTCATATAGTGAAAATTTAACTGTAAATGATAGTCATCATTTCCCAAAAATTATAGCCTTGTCTATGGTAAGTTCACATGGACCTTTCCATCAAAGCATGTACATGGTTCAGGCTACTTCTGTCAGGGCTCAAAAGGTCAAGGTAAATATGTAGTGCTTTCTAAAATATCTAGAATAGTTATTAACTGCAGCTAGTAATTTCTGTCCTTTAGCTAATGGTTCTCATGTGTTTCTCACAGTCAAGCCCAGTAGATGAGAAAAGGTTTAGCAATTTCTTACAGTCCTCAAAATAACACACAATTCAGTGGCTTGAACACCTTTCTCAGTGGCTAGCCAGCATGCAGAGCTCTCAACTTGCTGACGATATTTGCTTACATCCAAATGGCCCTGCCAGCATCTTATGTAAGCAAATCTATCTTTCTGTTCCCTGAGACAACTAGGGGACTTGTCAAACCAAAACCAGTGAGATTCCTGAGGAGGATACCACGAAGCATGGTTGGAGGATGTTAGGCACATTCCAAAATCCTGTGTCTTGATTAAGTCTTGAAAAGCTCTTCCATAAGTTTCAGTTTGCTCAGCCATGTGCACTGTTCCTGTGTCAGTCACATTCTAAGGCTGTCTAGACAAAATATCATCAATGCCAGAGTCTTGGCAGACGTTTGTTCTTGCTACAGATTGTACCTCCACAAACAGAGATTTCATCTTTGACATCACAGAAGCACGTAGAAGTTCTTTCTGCTTCCAAAAACTGCTACCAGTTTTTGAGAAAAGTCAGTTTATGACTTTAATCTGAAAAGCAGTTTGAAATTTTTTTCATCTGTCCGTTTGCAAAGGGATGTTTGTTCCAGTTTCAGCATCCATAAATCTCTTGGAGTTTTAAGTAGCTGGTTTTGTAGAGCTGCTGTGGGAAATGATTTACAATTATCTGCAGAGAATAGACTTTTGAACTGAATTATGAAAATCTAGTAGTTTGGACTCTAAAACACAGGACAGTAAAACACTATGAGTGTATGGAACGATTTGAGCAGTAGACTTTGAGCCCTCACACCGTTCAGGGAAGTTGAGCATTATGAGGAAGTTGTTTAATACAAATGTAATGTCCCTGTCCATCCAAAGTATTTTGGATGTTCATATCTAAGTAGTGTTTTGGATGCCAATGTTCATTCTTAATCTCTCCTGTCCTTGAATTAGGAAAGAAATCAAGTTCAACCAATGACTTCTTTTAGCTGCTGTCATTCTGATGACTTTTTTTTTTTTTTCAGTTGCAGATGTGGTAGCAACATTCCCTAAAACACCTCAGTGTCAGTGGAATATTTTTCTGGTTTATGAAGCAATGCACAGGCAGTATGTTTTGACATTACACTCAAGATGCTCCTGACTGTTGTTACTAATAGTAATATCTCCACTTCAGCCTTTGTTCTTGTATGTAGAGGTGGTAGGTACTTACCCTGCTTATTCAAAACATGTTAAAGACGCCTGCCTAGTACCTGTGTATTCCAAAGCCCACACAGAAAAGCTGGCAGTGTGTCATGTACGGAGTGGAAAACCAAGGTATGAAGAGGTAAAGAGTTGCCAAAATCAGTTGGTGGGCCCAGCAGATGGAACTGAATATTCAGGCTAGTTCAAAACTACGTATTGCTTTCATGTAAACTCAAAACACAAACCAAGCCCTGAGTTTAATTCCTGTGAAAACAGCAAAGAATTGGATTCAGATGGGATATTTCAAGAAATGGGCCTAAAATTTCTTGTATAGCTGCCTTTGTTTAACTCAGATTCATAATTTTGTGCTTTAATAGTAGTATACTGCAGGACAGCATTGTCCTATGCCACATCTCATAAATTCATTGTTGAGCTTCATAGCTGAAATTTAAGTTAGGCCGGAAATTATGCCAGCAAATATGATTCTTTGCAACAGGTTTGTTGTCTTATGTAAATTCCTCAGAAATTTTCCTTTCATAGTTCTGTAGGTACTTGAAGTAGCTAGATTAAAAGTGACAGTACTTGGTTATCTGGCATACACTGCAATCACTTTGTAAATACACATTTGTTGAGGAATCCATTGCACCAACTTATTTAACAGTTGCAATTCCATTTTGTTCTTCAGTTTCTCTCGGATTTCTTACTGTTGTTGGGAGAGGAGGCAAAATTAAATAGAATTTGTCTCCTGGAATAAAGTGGAGCCTGTGGGTGCCAAAAGAAGACCAAATCAACTTTTTGTGTTTGGATGTGTGTAATAATTAGCAGAAAAGTATAACTTCGAGTTTTAAGTGTACCTCCTTAAATAAGGGATGTGCTGGTCTAAATAGCTTCTAGTTTTCATTGTGCAGTTTCTCTGGAAACCTTATTCCTCAAAGAAAATAGAGTAAACCAAGATACTAGTGCACTTGTATTAACAAATTTATGGTTTTCTGATTTTGTACTTTATAATCTTAAGGTCTCCCTGACAGGCAGCACAGGGTAGTTACAGAGACAAAAAGCAAGGCCAGATTTTTGGAAGCAGTCTCAAGTGTGGTGTTTTATGATTAATTGTAATAAAATTAATGGTCCCATTTTGAATAACAGAATGTTAACCTGGGTATTCCTATGACTTGATTCAGGGCAGCCAAAGCTAGAGAGGAACAGATTTTGCTCATANTCTGCCTGATGTTACATATTTATTATTCTCTTAAAAGAAATAGCAGGATGCCTGTGTGAACTTTTTATACATTGCCTGGCAGATTGAGTTCTACAAAAAATAGATATGTTCTCTGTTCCCAGCAGATATTTTTTTGCCAGTAAATGCTGTAAATTTTTTTGCAGAAAGCACCTTTAGATTTAGTTTGATGAAATTCAAATAAGTGATCAGAACTTGGTTCCTTGTCTTTGTTCCTTTGTCTTTCAGAGAGCCATGTTATCAACAGGACTAGAAACTTGAGTTGTTAGACTTATAATTTATTTATTTATTTAGTTTATTAGTTATTAAGTTCTATGAGATACAGTACTAGGCAACAAAAAAGGTATCAGTTTAACAAAGTACAGCTGAAAATTTTTGGTGATTTGTGCCCAATTTGGATTTAGGAAATAAAAAGACCAGAAAATACTAGAGGCCAAGAGATTCAGAATTAAGGAATAACAAACTGTACCATTGGTGTATTACCTGAAATTGAGCAAGTTTTGTTTCTAACTGTATGGGTTACACTTAGCACAAACAGGACACAAAGGTGAAAACACATTCTACGCTCTATGGAATATAACTATGACTTTTACAGGATTTCCCTTAGTAAAATAAATGTCACCTTATGATTTCCTTTTTCATCATCTGTAAAGTTAGCCTGATACGCAAGTGTTTTATGGCTTTTGAGTGAAAATATTCCAGAAGTGTAAAATATTACTGTGTATTATTACCAGTAGTAATTAGTCATCATATTTGAATATCTCTGTGGTCTTACTATAGCAGAGAATACAGTCAATGGAGAACTTACCAGTTTACATAGAAAGGGATTGCTTTTTCAGGAATAACAAGATGAGGTGTCTCTTATGATACTTAAGG